GAAGGACATTCAAAGCTCTTCTTTGGATGTTGGCTGCCTTTTTCTTATGTCCTCTGTCAAGATGATCCCACACTGCTTCAATTATGTTGAGTATCTACTGACTCATGGATTGGTTCTGGGGAGGCCAATCGATGACTGATAGTGTTCCATTGTGTGTTTTTCTATCCAGGTATGTTTTGGGGTTCATTGTCCAGCACAAAAATAATTCCATTGTCAATCAGACAATAAAGTATATTCCATAGTGGATTAAACCTAAAGTAGTTTTCTGTGTAATTTCATCAATTTTGATGACATCTCCAACACCACTGAGTGAAACGGAGCCCCAAACCATGACAGAGCCTCCACCGTTTTTTTAATGATGGCTGTAGTCACTCATGTTGTTCTTCACTCCTCATCTTCCCTGTTCACTGACAGTTTAACCATAAAATTTCAAATGCATCTCTCAGGTTTTATGTCAGGTTTTGCTGGTTTTTCCCTGTTTGTTAAGGACATGACTTCTAGACTGTTCATGTGCTATAGTCCTGCCTCTTCCCCCCCCACTTGTGCAGGACACGCTGCACACCAACCTGAAATATGCCAATTTTTCAGCTAATAAGATAACCTTTATTAGTCCCACATGTGGGAAATTTAATAGCTCTTTGTTAAGTTGTCTGTTATGTGTAGCCGTAACACTGGTCCTTGAGTTCCTTGAGATGACCATTTATGCTTGAATGAGTCATAGGGTGGTGTTAAGTGACTCAACAAACAAACAAACAAAAAACAAGTACAACAACATTCCTCTGAAATATAAAGAAATCAAGTGTGACTCAAAACTTTGCTTAGTAATAAAGATGAGCCATGGCCATTGTTTGAAAAAATTACAGCGCATTTGGAAATTTGCTCATGCATAGCAACAGAAGCTAACAGTAAATTGGCAGTGCTTACCGGGTGGGAGGTTAGTGGGGGATAATTACATTGTCTCCATGTGGAGATGCAAAGATAGTTTGAAGAAATAATTGACCAGTTACTCAGTACTCCCTGAAAGTGGCTGCGATATCACCCAACTACAGTATGCTTGAGAAAGAAGGCAAGTTTGCTCCCATGGAAAGATGAATGTGACCTGGACGCATATGAATTTTAAAATCTTTACAGATTATAAAAGATCTTACCTAAATTACCCTAAATGTCCGCTCATATTGTTGGGTTATCTTAACAGGCAGATTAACAATTCCAAGAAATTGGACTAATAGGAACTGGTTTTCTAAAAGAACCGGTTCTCAAATTCCATCCCTAATTATAGGCCTGTTGTGGACTGTATTAGATTTCATAAACTTATAGGTGTAACAAATTTTGACTTTTTTTATTACTGAAAAGATGGATCTCACCCATGCTCAGTACTTTTGGAAATAATCTAAAGAAACTATAGAAAAAAATAACCCCTTCTTTATTAGTTCTTCCCACCTTTAGTGTAAGTTATAAAAAGGTTCACCTTAATGTTACTGAGGCGGAAACCTGCCTTGTACCTCTTCTTATGTTTTGGTCTCCACACAGTGGACTGGGTCTTTGTGCTAAAACCTTCAAAAATGATTGATGATTTTAATTAAATGTTGGGAGCCACACTGGGAGCCGACTGAGTGCTAGACTGCCCTCTGTTGGGCTTGGAGGACTGGCACTGACCCAAATACACTGGATGCCTATTACCTTCAATGGCTCAGCCAGACAAGGTCTCATTTACATGGTCAGTACAAGTAATTAAGTCCACATTCTAAAGTGTAATTAGTTCCTGCAGTAGCAGTATTATGGTACGATGCTCTAATACTCTATATCTCTACTACATTCAGTAGAGATTCATTCTACATTCAAATCAAAGAATATGCACAATAACTGAATATAATTTAAAAATGGCAACGCACGTTTACACCAGGCTGCCACTATCTCAGGGAGTTACTGCTGTGATTTTCTTTGGTGCTTGTTACACATACCAAGGCCTCTGTCAGCACAGGTTAGGGCAGACTAGCTGGTGTAAGTAATGTGCTCTGACCCAGTTTAACATCCTGAGTAATTTACCCTGAGTTAGGGCAGATTTAAAGGTCTCTGTGGATAATCCAACTCAAGAGAAATTAAATTATCCACAAAATAATATGTCCTGCTGTGTGGGTATTAGTGAGTTACTTAGCACTAAATAACACGTACAATTTTCTGCTAAGTCCTATCCTGAGCCAGCCCTATTTCTTTATGAGACAGACTTTCTTGTCATTTTTAAGTGGTCTTTCTGAAAAATTTCGAAAATTTTATTTGGACATTGGCTGCTTTTCCCACTCATCTTCAGTCCAGTCCAGTTTCTTAAGCCATCATTCAAGCATAAAAAAGCTCCTAACTCAGTGGATGAATCAGTGTTGTGTCTGCACAGAACAGACGTAGGCCCATTATTACAAGCAGCAGTGGCAGTCCTAGCCTGTTTGGCACCCTGGGCGAACACTCCCTCCCTCTAATTTTGCACTCCAGTCGAACACCCATCCCCCAACCCGAGGATCACCACAACATAACCTAATAGACCTACACCTTAATTCACAGATTCACTTTGTCTAAGGTGTATTTCTGGGATTTTGCACAACCCAGGATTCAAATCATGAATACATAATGGGCTTGGATTTACAACATTAGGATTGAAATGTGCTCTTTTTGGAAGCAGCCGGGCACCCTCCCCTTTCGACAGGTCGTGTGTGAAACTTTAAATCATCAAACTGTAAATTTTAAATTTTAAATTGTTATTGATCCGTTTACTCCTAGTCCTAAAGTGTATATTTATTTTCTTACTCTTCTTATATTTATTGTTTGTTTACTTGCACTGCTGTCTGTATACTGTACTGTATGTAGCGGAGATGACAATAAAGTTTATTTTGACTTCAGCACAGCAGCGAGCAGGCGCACCGAGGGCTCTCGCGCTCACTTTTCGCGCATAGAATTTAGAAAAAACAACGCTGCAAATTATAAGTCTGTATCATAATGTCTGGTGTTTTCGTGTTTGTTTGTTTGTTTTTATTTTGTTTTATTTTGCGAGTTGGTTATTAGATGCAGCTCCAGCCAGCCAGAGAATCCCCCGCCGCCCCGCCCTCTCCTCCCTGTGCCGCAAGCAGCAGGCGCACCTCGCAAACGGAGGGCGCCCTTACTCCCAGCAAATGGGCGATAGAAAACCGATCGGTGCCTATGCCATTCCCAGTATGCGCTGGCTGATGTTGGGGCAGCATGAGTAAGAGCAATTTTTTTTTTTTGCCGCCCCGGACAACCGCCTGTGTCACCCGTATCAAAAACCGCAAGCAGCCTTTCACAGAAACACATAATTTGTTCTGATTTCTTATTTTGAATTTATAAAAATGCAAACAGTACCACAGTTTAAAATAAAGAAATAGTACTTTTGCACCAACAAGGTGATTCACAAAGAGTTACCATATTAGCTGAAAACAGCATGGAGTGCAGCATGTCCTTAAAATATTGAAAAAGTGAGGAAACTGTACAAATGGAAGACAAAAGAAGAACCCAACAAACATGCCCTATGCACACACAGCCCTACAATCCAATCCCCATTTATGAATGAAATGAAACAGCATTTATAAAAAATAAATGCTGTTTCATCCAAATGTGAGAAAACAAACACTTTCATAAAAGAAGACATACAAACTTGTACATTTGTACATTTTCTTCTCTCTTTTATTATATTCCTACCAAATAAATCAACTTTATCACTTAGTTGTGAATATAAATACTTTCTGAATCCATTAAATTACTTACGCGTATTGTTTTGTCTGCTGTGGTTGCTAACAGCTCACAATTAGAAAAAAAAATCACTGTGTATTGTGGCTGCGAGACAAACTGTACACAGCGGTACCACATTATAACAGCCCACAGTCTTTCTTCTGGCAATGAACTGCTGCTCAGAAAACCTCATCATCTGCGATTGTTTGGTGCTCCAGTTGTGGAGTATTCTTGTCTTTGCACTGAGTGCAGGCTGTGGTTTTTGTCTGTGCATGTAATCTGCTCAGGTTATTTGTGTGCTTTGTATTGTGGATGCTGGTTGGTATCTGTATGTGCTGTTTATTTTCTTTCTTTTTTCTTTCTTTCTTTCTTTCTTTCTTTCTTTCTCGTGGTGTGCTGGGGATTTAAGCTGTTCGGGTTTGTGTCTGCACTCAGGGTCAGGTGTTACACATTTCAGGCTCAATGCCTCCTATCTCACTTGAGGCTCAACAGCTAACCTCACACACACACACACATGCACAAGCATTCATGCATGTGCAAACATACATGAATACAGTACAAAAATAATAGCACACACCCCCTCTTAAAAAATTACTCTCCGTCGTGCTCATGTGTCTTTTTCTCACCTATTACTTCAGGGTTTTTTGTTTTGTTTTTGAAGAACAGCATCTGTTGCCTGCCATCACTGCTCTGTCTCAACTCCAACTTTTACCTCGCTTCGTTTTTATTGCTTTCTGTGTTGTTTGTCTCTCTTCCTCTGATGCTCTCTTTCTCTCTCTCTAATGACCTGTCTGCCTCTTCCTATCACATCTCTGTGTGGTCCGAGCTGATGCTTGCCTCAGTTTTTTTTGTACTCTTCACACACATACAAACACACACTTGCATCCGCTTGTCAAGAACAGAGGGCGGAGGGGGTTACCTCTATGCAGCTTACCAATCTGCACACTATCGACAGTGGTGCAACACACAAACACACACACACACGCACAACAGATGATTCATCATGAGAATTACCAAACACCAGAAGTAGGAGATTCTTATGCACTTTCGCAGCATCTAAAGACAGAGCAAATCTAATACACAATCTCAACTTTGATAACTTCCATCTTTCTAACGCATCATTTTCCCCCACTCTGCTTTTTCAGAGCACGGGAGATGCAAACCCACTTGCATGATTATCTCTTGAATTTCTTAACTACCCACCCCCTTCCATATCTGCCAAGCTTTACTTCCATACTTAGAAATGGATAAATAATTAGAACTCTTACCGTGAGGGTAGGGATGGCTGTGACGAGCGAGTAGATGAGCACCGGAGGGATCTTGCTGGTATCATCCGGACCAGGGTAGGGCTTAGAGAAGGTCTTGTCGTAACAGAAGAAGCCCTGGATGTGCACGGGGAAGGTGTCCGTGTACTCAAAGTAGTAAGCCAGCAGCACCGTCCCAGCCATGATCACCAGCTGGAAATAGAACATTATCCCTCCGTTAGGAAGCGAGAGGACGAGAGGTGAAGCAGAGGAGGTAGAGGTGGAGGAGCTGGAGTGGGAGCGGGAGAGAAAGAGGGGAGAGACGAGTCCCTGTACCCCTCAGCAGCGGGGAGATGCATAGGAAATGCCGGATCCAGAGAGAGGCAGAGTGAGAGGTTCAGTGTTTGGAACCAGGAGACATGGCGAGGGAGAGGGAGAAAGATGAGAAGACAAGAAATAAAAGAGCCAAATCTGCAGGAGACTTCTCTCATCAAGAGATGGAAACAAAGATTCAAAGAAGGGGAAAAAAACAAAACAGGATAAAAGAGGATTCCCAACACCGCAAGCAGAAAAAAGACAAAGAATTGCATAGAGAGTGAGCAAGAGAAGGAGAGAGTGAGAAAGCAATGGAGAGAGAAAGAGTGATCGAGAGAGAGAGGGAGAGAGGAAGTGAAATGTGAGGGAGAGGAAGGGGGAGGCAGCCTTCATGCTGCTGGCACTCATGAAATCTACTACAGTTGAGCTGTGGGTGTATTTGTAGATGCTGCGTGCACATGTGTGTGTCAGTGTGGAATACGTGAGTGTGTGTGGCCTCATCACGTGCACAGAGACTGAAGTTTCTGCAGACACTCTAACCATCAGCTGCTATCCCCGCTAAAAAGTTTAGTTGATATCATGCAAAATTTAATCAATTTCATTTCATTTTCTGATGTAACTTGATGGCTTTTTAAGTTTTCAAAAAACTCTTTTTCCCTCTGTGTGTCCATTTTAGAATTCATTTGTGCACTGCTTTCTACTTTGTTTTCTCTGATCACTTTGATTTCAAAGTGATCAGAGAATGCTTCCATGTGCCATTTCAAGCTGACACATGCAAGCAGTGCGCCAACTTGAAATGAAATTCCAACCTAGTGAGCAGCATCACAAACCCTGATTGGTACTCACAGCTTGTTTTTGCAGTTTTCAGAAGGAAACAAGGAGGAGATTTCTCTAACACAAGTCCCAAATGAGAGTGCACTCCTCAGATCTGCAGATTCACAAATGCAGCAGATCAAAGGCAGCAAAATTGATTACGATTTGTAGTAATTAAAGCCTCACCAATTTACCAATATTGTGGACCAGTATTGTTGACTGATACTAGCTGCTGGCCAATCCATCTGTATCAGCATTTATAACAGCTAATAACTGACAATGTACAAAATAAAGATCGTAGAAACACCCTTGACACGTGTTATGAATTTTGATGTTACATTATTTGACCACCAGAGGGCAATCTGCATTTTCCTTGTTGGCATCATCAAAAACACAACAACAAGCTGGCTTAAATGTGAAGTCAATAAATAACTACACACAAGAAACGTAAGGGATATTTATAATGAATATTAAGAACACATTCGGGGGGGGGGGGGGGGAGTCGTTTTGTGGTTAAACTTGAAATAGTTTTTTGAGATTAAAGTTGAAATGCGGTGATTACAGCTGTCATTTTAAACTAAACCGCCACAACTCCTATAACCTCTACGAAATGTGTAGATCAGTTAGTGAAACAAACTGATCAGCTGTGTTATGGTGTCTTACCCATAAATATCCTTGCATCATTTTGTACAAATCCGGCCAACTCTTCCAAATTTTTCCTTCTGACTAGATCCAACTTTCGGCACCATTTTTTCACTGTCCTTGTTTGTATAAGGATGGCTGTAGGTCAGGAGGTAGAGCAGGTCATGTGCTTATTGGAAGGTTGGTGGTTTGATCCCTGGCTCCTCCAGTCTGCATGCCAAATATCCTTGCGCAAAATACTAACCCAGGTTGCTCTCTGATGCATTCATTGCAGTGTGAATGTGTATGATTGGTAGATAGAAAGCATAGAGCATTCCAATCCATGTGACTGGAGTAGAAAATAAGAATCAGTCCATTTAGCAATCACCACACTGTGTTTATGTGCTTAAATAATTTCTTTGTAACTGTGTCAGGCAAGTTATTGTTAATGTCTGGCTCTCTTCCACAGTGTCTTTGTCCTGTCTTCCTCCACTCACCCCCGTTGCGGCAGGTGGCTTCGCCCTCTCTTAGCCTGGTTCTGCCAAAGCTTTCTTCTTGTTAAAAGGGAGTTTTTCCTTCCCACTGTTGCCAAAGTGCTTGCTCATCAGGGGTTATCTGACTGTTGGAGTTTTCTCTGTTTGCTGTTTATTGCTGTCGGGTCCTTACCTTACAATGTAAAGTTCCTTGAGGCAACTGTTGTTATGATTTGGTGCTATAGAAATAAAACTGAATTGAACTAAATTATTTATTTCACCTTTGCTGAAGAAAATTCCTATTACCTGGAAAATCATCAACTGAGATCCTAACACGGATCACAGACAATGGGAAATGGTGGGAAAGCTTATTAACTCCATTTGATGGCAGCTGGGACTGTATGTTTTCAATTTGGCTAAGACAGGAGGACCATGGGCTGTATTCACCCTTGTTGTGTTGGCTATTAAACCTTGATTATACTCTAATTTAGTCAGACATGGACAGCTAGAAATACTGCAGATGAGTAGGTGTTCCATCTATAGGCACATGTGTAGTTGGTGTATTTTTGTGTGGTCACAAAAAGCTTGGCAGGCACGTGGACATTAACAAAGACCTGCATGCTCAAGTCTGATGACAACATTTCATTCGAACCCATGATGTCTGTACTGAGAGGTGTGCAGTCTGCTTTACTGAAACGAAAGCTATGCACACTTGATGTTTCGGTCTTCTGTCACATCATCAATAAGCACAGGTTACTCAGTGCCACTGGAAGTCATGCTTGCCCATACATCACAATGTTTCACACAGGTTTTACAGATGATGTTGTGAGCATTGAATCGTGACCCATTTCAAACCTTCTCCATATATTTTTTTCCCTATAATTCTGTTGCATTCGTAGAGTCATTGATCCAATGAATGCTGTTTTGGAACTTTTCTTGCTTCCTTCTTTCTTTCTTTCTTTCTTTCTTTCTTTCTTTCTTTCTTTCTTTCTTTCTTTCTTTCTTTCTTTCTTTCTGTGATGGACTTGTAATGATACATCTACCTCCTGAAAATGGTTCTTATGAAGGGCATCAAAAACATCAGGCAATCATCTACCACTGGTCTCTTCCACAGATATCCAGGCCTTTTTATGCCTGTAGAGCTGACCAGCTCACTATAGTTTCAGAATGAACTAGAACCGAATGAACTCTCATGTTTCCACTTTCTCTGTGATGGATTTGTTTTATTTTTGAAGTATGGGCAGAATTGCCCATTTCACACACATTGAGAGTTCCACTGAAACTGTTTCCGAAATCCAAATGCTACACTTGGAAATCAACTGCAGACCTTTTACCTCCAAGTACGGGAAACAGCTTTTGCTAGAATTGTCCGATTACATTTGAGCCTCTGAAAAAAGACCGTCCCTTAAAATGGATGTAATTCCTAGAAGAAAAGTCAACACTTAAGGCCTATATCTATCTTAGAACTGTAACCTGGGTAAGTATATAAAATAAGTTGTATTAGTGCCTGAAAATATATGAATGTTATGGTAAGATGAAGCACAAATCCTTATTCACCATTCATCATTGGCAAATTTTACCTCACATACATGTACACATGTTTACACATGTCAATGTATATCAACATCTACACATATACGTCTGGCATGCACTATACATATGTCCTGAATGTATATATAGAAGGGTGCATGTATTTATATTATGTGCAAATATACATAGGGGCACAAATATAAAGGATTTTTATTTGTATAAACACCCTTCATTTGTGCCTCCCTCGTTTTGTTTTTTGACTAGCTGCAGTTGTCATAACTGAAACACCAGAATTATAAAATACAAATAAGTGTTTGTACAGATTTGTGTTGAACTTACGCTTCACTTTGTGGTTTATAAATTATTGTAGTAGCGGTTTATGTTTGTATTTTATGTGTTTGTGTATCTTGCACACACGCTTGATGGGAGCTGTTTGTTGGGTTTGCTTTGGGTGAGAGGAGGTGTTCTAAATGTGTGACTCATAAAGCCTTCCCTTGTTTTCCTGTTTGATGGTGTAGCGCTCCTCCCCTGCATTTTCCCAACGTATTGTGACTGACTGTGACTCACACTTCTAGGAAGAAACACTTTTAAGTCACAAAGCCACGTTAAAATCATGATCATACTTATGCATAGTTGAGCACAGAGCACAGCATACCATGTCTCCTTTATTTCCACTTCTATGCGCTGGAAAAATATTAGAGAATGTGCGTCTGCTGAAGATTTTGCCTCAAGCTCCCATATGTCGGAGTTCATAGTTGTTGACCGGCAAATCTGCATCTCCAGCCAATAGATGAAGAGCTTATTTTTAGAGTCATCTTTAAATATGAGCTCTTTCTAAATCAAACCAGGAACCAAAAAAACACTACAAATGAGTATTACAGCCACATGAATCAAGAACAGAGAATATTTTATTTACTTTACAGAATAAATAGAACATTATTATATTAATATTCATTAAAATGGAACATCAATAATTTAGTAGCGCATTGGGCTCACAGTTAATAACACCTAACAGATTATTGTTTGTAAAATGATCAATATAACCTTGACCATGACTTTCAGCTTTATTGTCCATAAACCTATACTTGATTCTTAGCATTCCAACTTCAACATTTTAACTCAGGGTTCTCAAGTTTTCAAACTTAATTTATAGCACTTTTTAACTTTAAAGATACAGTGTGTAGAATTTCACCACTAGATGTTAATAGATTGTAGATTGCAGTCAACTAAATTCTGTTTTTTACACATTCTAATTCAAGTGCATTATGTTATCTATGGCAGCTGTTATAGGACAAATATTTTTTTACTCAGCAATAGAGATCAGAAACATTGAATTAAATTAAGAATGTACCACATAATGACACTCCTGTTGTTTCTGTTGTTAGCCACTGTTAGCTGCTGCCAGCTAGCATTAGCTGCTATTAGCCGATGTCAGTCAAGTTTTCTTTTAAGTGGATCTAA